TACGTGGGCTCAAAGACAACAGAAAGCTTGATCGACAGCTTTACTTTTCTTGTAACCAAAGCGGTCGGAACGGCCGTTGACATCAAAGACATCGACGCTTATCAAAAAGAACTCAGAAACGACTTCATCTTAAACAAAGAGCTCTCCAATCTGGCCGGCAACCTTGCTTTGAAGTGCGGCCGGTTTCTGGCTGCGGCCAACGCGGCGCCGATCACTACAAAACATATTGATTTCAACTCGCATTTAGAGAGAAAGGACGAAGCAAAATTGGAAGAAATTCATCAGCAATCCTCAACAACTGCTGAGGGATTGCAGAACGAGTAATTTCTGAGCATTATTATATTTGCTTAACATACGCATTTGTTTCAGAATGTCTACCGAACAATCCGAGAGCGCTCCTGCCGTCACGGCGAATTAGCAGGTTGATGTCACACAGCAAGCGACAACTCCAACTGCAACGACAACGCAGCGCGTAAAAAATCCCAAGCGTGTGGCCGCTGGAAAAATGGTTGCTGAAAGAACGCGGCTGGCNGTTGATGTCACACAGCAAGCGACAACTCCAACTGCAACGACAACGCAGCGCGTAAAAAATCCCAAGCGTGTGGCCGCTGGAAAAATGGTTGCTGAAAGAACGCGGCTGGCCCGGGAACAATAGAAAAAAGCAGCTGAGGCTTATATCGCAAACAACAAGGCGAAAGCCACCACAGAGGCCACCGAGCCAGTCCCGACTGCAGAAGGCGAAAGCCCAAAGTGCAGCGGTGAAAAAAATAGCAGCCTCAGCACCACCCAATGGCTTGCTGTTGGCAGCGTAGTCGTTTCACTTGTCGGGATTTATTACAAACGTGAAGAGCTCCAGGCTGTATTCGACGAAAAAACGCCTGAGCCCGCACCTGAGCCCGCGTGTGTTGAGCCACAACCTGCTCGCGCGACACAGCCAAGAGTTTTAAAAAAAATGGATTAAACATTTTCACCTGTAATATATTGCCATGAAGAAAGTTGACGTTCCCCAGATTCTCATCTCTTCAGCCGCAATTTTTGGTATTACGCCGTTATGGAACGACTTCAACATAAAGGTTTTTCATACAGTCCGAGACCTTTTGAGTGCAGCATTTATTGATAAGGGCTCAGAGGACGAAGGATACGAAGAAGACGAAGAAGACGAAGAAGACGAAGAAGACGAAGAAGACGAAGAAGATGAAGCAGACGAAGGAGATTAGTAAAATTAATTTGTTTTAAACTTTCGTTATTTTCCTAATATAAAAGTCACTATGTCGTCCGAAAACAAGCTTGTTAAGACCGTCATTGACGGCGCAATTCTCACTGACTCAACTCAACACTGACTATGCCTTCAAACTCTACAACCAGGCGCATCCTGACGAACGAACGATACCCCCCCAAAGAGCCCAAGTTCTCAGATTTCTATCAGCCAAGCGAGCAGCAAAAAAATGGTCAACTCATGTTCGTGGGCGCCGGGGCGCACGCTCTGGGCTACGCAGCCTTCCGGTTCCTTTAAACTTTAAACTCCTTCTTATAGTAAAGCGATGGACTCCAAACTCGCAAAGATATGCTACGGCCCCGGGGGCTACTAGAAAGGTATCGCCACGATCAAAAAATTAGCCGAGGTACCTGAAGAAACCGCA